TTATTGTACACTACTTGGGTGACAGGTACACCCAAAGGTACACCACTATGCAATATATACATCTAATGGAATTCAACTTGCACCCCCTAAATCTATTAAAATATTAGAAATAGAAAAATGAAAAACATGGTACAGATACTCTGGAAAAGAATTTGGCAGTTTCTTACAAAACCAAACACACACCTACTATATGACCCAGCGAGCATGTTCTTAGACATTTATCCCAGAGAAATAAAAACGTCAGTTCACATAAAAACATGTACATAGTTATTTGGTCTCAAATACATAGTTATTTGGTCTCAATAACTAACCATTTCGTGGATTACACTTATATAGCAGTCTCAAAATGACAAAACTACAGAGATGGAGAACAGATTAGTGGTTGCCAGGGCTAGGGACTAGGAGGGGAGCGTAGAGGCCATAGATGTGGATACAAAGAGGTAGCATGAAAGAATTCTTTGGTGGTTATGGAATGGTTCTATATCTTGATTGTGGTGGTGGTTACCCCAATCTGTACATGGGGTGCAACTGCACAGACAGACACTAGAATACAGATTAGGAAAAAATGATTAAAACTGAGTAAGATCTGTAGTTAAAAAGTAGCCAATGTCAATTTTTTATTTTAAATAATTGTACCCTAGACATGTAAGATGTTACTGTTTGGGGAATCCGGGTCAAGGGTATGCTGGACTCTACTATTTTTGCAACTTCCTATAATTATTTAAAAATGAAAAAAAATATATTTTATATATATATATTATATATATATATTTACTATTTTTATGGGCATTTAAAACATTCCTTTGGATTACTTTTAGTATGCTTGTTAGGGATTGAATAGGTAATCCTTTATTGAATAAGCCTTCCTTTCCCACTGTTTCGAGATCTTCCCTTTATCATATACTAATGTCTACATATACATGAGTCATTTCCTGGACTCTTACTTCCAGTGATTAATTAATTTAAATTCCCTGCTTCACTTTCCTCATCTGTAAAATGGGGATAATAATAGTAGCCAACATATTTTTGGTACCTAACCTGTGCCAGTCACTGTTCTAGTGCCTTGTGATACGCAAGTAGACAAAGCAGGTGAAGATCCTTGTCTTTCTGGAGTGGACCTTCCAGCATGGGAAACAATAAATATTAATAAACACACTGTATAATAAGTTGGAAATAGTGCTATGAAAAAAAGAAAAAGTGGAGCAGATAGGGGAGTCAGGAGGTTTGGGGTAAAATTTTAAATAGGGGGACATCAAAGAGAAGATGATAATTGTGGGAAGGCTTGAAGGAGGTAAGGAAATCAGACTTGTGGATCTCTTGGTAAGGGATATTCCAGCCAAAGGGAAAATCAAAAGAAGTGGAAAGAAATGGAAAGATATTGAATGGCTTTGATCCAATAAGTGATATAATTAGACTTACATTTGAAAACCATAACTCTTGGTTCTGTATTAAAAATAAACTGTAGAGTGGTTGTTAAGAATAGATGAGTTTATATACCTATTTCATATACTGGGTATCTTTATTTATCTATCTATCTAATCTATCATTAATTTACTCAGGATAATGCCTGACACATATTAAGCATAGTTTAAAGGCTGTTATTATTATTATTGTCACCAGCAGCAATTTTTACACAAGTGCCACATTGTTTTGTTACTTCTATAGCTTTATAGTAAGCAACATGTAGATCTACAGTTTCATCACCACATAGTAAGGAGAACCCTGGGTAAACTGGTTGAACTGTTAAAATCAGGTGAACTTATAAAACTGCATTCTTGAAAGTAGGACCAAGGTATAGACACCCTATGAAGTCCATACTCAAATATCCCACTAGCTTTCATCTTTACAAATGACTGTACAATTCATCAAGATGTGTTTTGGTATCACTTCATTTTCTGTTCTTTCCTCCACGTTTCTTATTTACAAAACCTTACGGAGGCTCTATAAGTCAAAACTTTTAATGAGAGTTCTTTTTCCAAAGGGGTTATTAGCTTGGTCATGGTTCAGCTAGACTTTGAACACATTTATTCATGCTTTCTTAAGCATTTCTCCCGAGAGAACTTATTCTGAGTAGAGAAAGGTTAATTAAATGCTTTAGAATGTGATTTTTGTCTTTTCTAAAATCCCAAAGGATAAAAATACTTTCAGAACACTACCCAAATTCTTTTCTGAGATAATGTCCAATGTCTATATCAATTTACAATAATTCTATCCTTTTCTAACTGGTCCTAGTCTGAAAAGATCTATTCCTCAGTGAAAGCATGGCTCTCTATGGGACAACCTGGCTTAAAAAATATCCCTCATGCCTGGTTTCTAGACTGGATTTATTTCTGTTGTGACAATTTGTTTCTGTTTATCACTGTAGGATGTAGCTTGGATGGTTTACATAATAGCGTGACCATGGCTGTAGCTTTTAGAGATGGTCACTACCTCAAATCTTCAGGGCAATCACCTGGTCCTTCACACATACTTTCACAAACTTCTTGCTATATTTTATTGGATCTTAGGTTCATAGAACTAAATTAGTTATAATTCTTTGTGACACATGCTCACCATTGTTCCCACTGTCTAAAATTTAGTTTTGCAGCCCTAGGACAGTAACATGACCTTGCTCTCTATCTCTTGGCAGACTATGTTATTGATCACCTATTCTAGCAGTTTACAGTGATGCTCATGTTTATCTTTGGAGAAACTAGGTTATTTAGTCAATAGGCATATTTCTTTGAAGATCAATAGAATACTGTTTCTTGAGTACCTACTAAAGATAGGCATTTTACTAAGGACTTTGTAAGTATTATAATAGCTTAGTTTAACCACAACTATCTCGTATTAAATAATTATTATCTTTATTGTATGGAAAACAGACTCAGAAGGGTTGAAGTAACTTGTCCAGTTACATAATTTGTAAATGCCAGTGCCAGGATAGGAAGTCCAGGGATCACTGTTGAGGAAATCCATGCTTATAACCATGAATAAGCTTTTTTCCTAATTCCCACTCTCATGATGCAATCTAGATGGGAAATACTGGATGCACCCTATTTAGTTAACCTTAATCAAGTTACTTGCCTGATAAAGATGACCCTAACAAAACTAATTCTCCACTCCCAAGCAAAATATCAAGCCACCATGGGCACAAGGTCAGGGTACAAAGCTTTAAGGCCTTTAACAACATGAAAGAACATCTTTCAAGAAACAAGCTTTTGCTGTATAGTATAAATTCCACATGGGTGCCAAATTGGATCTGTCAGTCTCATTGGATACTGTCTTGCTTAAATAGCAGGATCAGAAAGAATGTATACAGAACCTTTCAGTTAATAGTTATATGACAAATCTATGCAGTAAAAATAATGACCTGATCTATTTAATAATTTTTTTATAATTTTAATTTTTTATACTATGTCCTTGTTAAAATCAAATTGTTTAGAGAGATTATCTTTATTAAACCATGGTTATTGAATCCAGTCAAGAAAGCAGTTCTTTATCAGAGATAGTTATTTTATGAGAGAATTTCACATGTTTAAGGAGGTATTGGAAGATTGAAAAGGTAGCAAACAGCACCACTATGTATGCAAACTTTTCAGGAATGAAAGTTTGGGTCACCACCCAACCAGATAAAGAACTCTGACCAGCTGAGATTCTGGCTGGGGAGTGGAGGGCAGAATGAGTAGAGACAAAGCTAAATAGCAAGCACAACTATCTCACAATAACATACTTGTATTTGTCTTGAATCAGTGTTATTAAATAGGAAAACATTTATTTCTTCAGAATAAGAAGAATGGCCATCCCAGATTATGAACAATAGATCTTGGGGACTTGGTTAGCTTTATTAGATCATATTTTAAAAGATGTTATTTCTGAATAGCAGCCAGTATAGCACTAGATTGGAGCTTAGAGTACTTATCCAGTAATACTTCTGTTTCAGGGCTTTACAATGTGGCCTGCTGGGATTTTAACATTGGACCTTAGAAGACCAGCCCCCAGTATGGGTAGCTGGTTCAAATATCCACATAGAAAGAGGCATGTGAACTAAAGTGGAGAGCCTCTGGGCTGTGCTAATATTTGGCACCAGGTAGGTTATGGATCCTTGACTATAGGGAAGTCCACCCCATTGATATAGGGCTCCTGTTATCAATTTGGGGTACAGAAGGTAGGGTCTAACCAGTAGAGTGCCAAGCAAATGGCATGTGGACCAGGACTCAGATCCTGGGGAGAAATGGAGCTCAAATCAAGGTTACTGAGGAAAGCTACTACTTGGTGGACATAGGTAATACAGGGACTCACCAGGGAATACAAGGTAATCTTAGAGGCACTCTAGCTGACCTTTCACATAGGACCTCCTAGCAGAGTACTAAGTAATGTCAATTGGGTTCTTATTGGCTGAAAGATGTGAATGGGCTGACCCTGAAAGTACCAGGTCTTCAGTACTGATCACTGGGGAGGGTTGGAGAAGGCCGAGACCTAGTGGTGTTCCTTTAGTCACAGTGGCATCACTGTGTCCTGATAGTGCTTTTCATGTTGATAGATATCAAATAATTTTGTTGGGGGTGTTATGATTTTACTGGGCTGGTAAATGTTAGAAGATATTTCTTAAGCTATATAGTAATAGGGAAGAAGTAATATAGTAATCAGAATAAAATAACAGCAGGCAAATGTGAGAATTCAAGGAATCAGAAAATGCGAAAATTTCAATTAATTTTATTTTTGGGGGATTTCTGGGCTATTATTTGAGCTATTTCAAAATTTCCAGGATTGAAATAATTTAAAGCTGGAGAGCTGGGAGCTTTCCATGTATTGTGTATCTCAAAGAAAGAATAAGAATGGTGGCGACTGGCAATGGTCTGAACATATCCACAGGATTAAAATACTTACTCAGAAAAATCATGTCGCTAATTCTGTCTTCAGAGCTTTTGAACGAGTCAACCTTCAAATACTATAGTTTGCTAATCTTTATTTTAAAAAATTATCTAACTTAAGTATAGATAAATTCTGACAAATTTGAATAGTTTGCATCAGTAAGAAAGTTTATTGAAATTCAGTAAATGAGGAAAGAAAGTTTCTTTTTTTTCCATTAAAGAATACTTTCTGGTAAAGTGAAAAAAAGAAATACAGAAACCACAAAACACATTTTAGACACCTTATTTTCAAGGAGAGAACATGTTCACATAGACCATTAAGACTGATGTATCTTCTTGCAGACTTAGTTTTCCATGAATCTGTATATAATGGCCTGTGTCAAGGGAGACTCTCTCCTCTTTATGCAGCTTAATAGTAGTGTTTCTCTGTTTCTGATTCAACCATAGATGAAAGGACTCTACCATCAGGTGCCACCTCTTCAATAATTGTCTTGATTACTCTGGTTTTGTTAGTATCTGTGTGAATAATGGAAAAGATATAATTTAGACTAAGCAATTTGTAGGAGTCCTTACTAATTAACAAGAAAATATTCTAAAAAATAAGAAAATTCAACTTTTTTACATTGTTAAAAATAAATCCAAGCAAGTTTAACTAACTGCATTTAGACCACGTATTTTTCGTTCAAGATTGGTGTCGAGTACAGTTTGCTAACAAATGCAAACGGAACCGTCTCTACGATTTTAATTTTTTAAACAGCTCTCGAGCTTTAAAAGAAACACCACCGTCACAGAAACTTAAAACTAAGTGCGATTACCCCAGCTAGTTTCTGCTGACCTTGGTCCCTTAGAGGAGGACTCTCCAGCGGAACCGGAAGAGGAAGACTTGTGGCCTCCGCCGGAGCTGCCGCCGCCGTAGCCGCCGCCAGAACTGCTGCCGCCGCCGTAGCCGCCGCCGGAACTGCCGCTGTGGCCTCCACCGCTGGAGCTTCCGCCGCCGTGGCCGCCGCCGTGGCCGCCGCCGTGACCGCCGCCGGAACTGCCCCCGTAGCCGCCGCCGGAACTTCCGCCGTAGCCGCCGCCGGAACTGCCGCCGGAACTTCCGCCGTAGCCGCCGCGTCCGCCGCCGGAACTAAACGGGGTGAGGGTGATAGACTGTTATCTCTAACACTGGAAAATAGGGGCTTGCTTTCCAGATTATTGTTACTTTAGAAAATAAACATAGACGTATTTTGAGGAAATATAGCACTGCGAAGTATGCATTTTAAAACCCATCCTTTAAAAGCAATTTTTTTATACACAGAACCCTAAAAATCATTCTTGGGCCAAATTCATGAGAAAGCGCGACTGCGGTTGCATATTCCTTTTTCTGTACTCTGGCCCGTTTCTTCTCTCCCCTTCCTCCCATTCTCTGGTATTTTCTTGGGGTTTGGAGAAGCCTTGCTATCTGGAATATTGAGATAAAAGTAATTGGCATGATTTCTGAATTTCAGATTTACCTTCCCTCTCCTTCTAGCAGGCTGCGGTAGGTTTGAATTTCATTCTCCAGTCGGGTCTTAATATCCAGGAGTTGTTGATATTCAGTATTCTGGCACTCAGTTTCAGCTCGAATCTGTTGCAGCTGTTCTTCCAGAGCAGCGATCTGAGCCTGAATCTGTGAGAGCTGCACACAGTAGCGACCTTCTGTTTCTGCCAGGGAGCCTTCCAGGGATTGTTTCTGAAAAGAGGATGTTATTGTGGCTTAGCGACCTCAGTGTTCAATTGAGTATAGTGAAGCCTATTTATTTAATAAGACATCATATAGAAGAATAAAGAGAATGAATAGAATGTGTTTTATGTTTAATGGCAGCATTTTAGTTTCAGCAGTTTCAGATCAATACTAATAGTACTTTTCCTCCAATAACATGTATTTTCAGATTTTTTTTCTTTCTTATTCCCAGCTCTGCATTTTTCTCTTGCCTTGCATATTCTTACATGAGCATGAAACTTGGTATGATAAAGTTGAAGTCACTTCATGAGAGTTAACATACCAGGGCCAGTTGGGATTGTAGTTCTATCTCCAGAGCTTGAACATTACGTCTCAATTCAGTGATCTCAGATTTATAGCTGGACATTTGTTCAATGTTATTATCAATTTCTGTAGTCAGTTCCTTGCTCTAGGATATTAAAAATAGGGGGAAAAGATGAGAATTCTGAATTGATAACAAAACGTCCATGAGCTTCATTATGAAGGAAGATGAATTTACCTTTTCATTGAACCAGGCTTCAGCATCTTTTCGGTTTTGTTCAGCAAGTTGTTCATATTGGCTTCTCATGTTATTCAGAAGTTCAGTCAGATCAACACCTGGGGCAGCATTCATCTCAACATTCACATCACCAGTGGAGACATTTTGAAGGTCTTTCATTTCCTGTTTAAGGGACAGAAATATTTAATAACTACACCATGACCCCAGTGAACTCTTTTTTGGCTGGGGAAGGTATAACTTCTGTGTCACCTCCTCGTGGTTCTTCTTCAGGTAGGCCAGCTCTTCAGTCAGGCTCTCGATCTGCATCTCCAGGTCAGCCTTGGTCAGGGTCAGCTCATCCAGCACCCTGCGCAGGCCATTGATGTCGGCCTCCACACTCTGGCGCAGGGCTACCTCATTCTCATACCTGAAAAAAGCATGATATAAATATGATATAGCTTATACAGGGGAGGTGAACCTGGGTAGAGACTGTTTAAAAAGCAAATATAGAGCTGATTGCATATCATGGCAACTTTTATTATATGCTCTTTCACTTAGGAATATTAGTGGTTTAATGCAAAGAAGCTTAGCAATTAGTTTAAACTGCATTTTCTTCCTTTAATATTGTCATAAAGGTAATACTTAAATTGACAATTTCTCAGACAATTCTAATACTATTTTACTTTGGATAAATTCAGGAAAATGTAAATGCTATTGTGGGCATCCAAAGTCATTCTTAAAAACAATTGATGTATTTTTTTGTGATGGTATTATACCACATTCTCTTAGCTTACTTCAGCCTGAAGTCATCAGCTGCCAGCCTGGCATTGTCGATCTGAAGCAGGACATTGGCATTGTCAGTTGTTAGGTTGAGGATCTGGAGGGAGAGGCACAGTTATTTTAAAAGAGGTCAAATGCAGATATGGCTTTTATAGTGGCATAGATAAACTGCATTTTATGTTGTTTTCTTATAAAATCTTGGGGGAATTTTGTATTTTAAATATGAAATATTGCAGCTTACCCATATGCTTAAATTTGAATCCTTTGTTCTCTTGAAGTTTCTCTACTTTCCTATTTCTGTGTCATCCCTTTCTGTAAACTAACTGGAATTATATAGACATATTTCTAAAAGTGTGTATTCCCCTCTTTTATACTGTGTGATTTCCATTTATTTCAGCTAGCCTTTGACTGACTCACACTTGTATTTATTTAACTTGTTAAATGTATGTATAAGTAAATATACCCTGAGCTGGTACACAGTAGGTGCAATTCACAAATTCCCTAGAAGCAAGCATCCCATTTTTCATATTAGAGAATTCAAATTTCTTGCAATGTTGGCACTGAATAGCTTATTTGTTACCAGTCCAAAAAATATTTTGCTCTGATTCATTTATAATTTTTTCAGTTCCTATGTTTGTAAATGATCTAGCATATTTTAACTGTGGACTCATTATATGCTCATTAAAACCTGAAAAGTTATCAGTAATCTTTCATCCTATAAAATAAGAAACACACATGCTGGGTGAAGATTGCCATGACCATACCTTCACAAATATTTACCTTGGATGAGTCTAGATTATTTCTGGAAGCAAGAAAGTAACAGAGGTAAACACAACAAATAGCTACATTGTGCATAAGATTCATCTATCTGGATTGCATGGATAAAAAATAGATTTAAAGCTGAGTTTAAAAATGCCTCTTACCTGATTTTTAAGGTCATCAATGGTTTGGTAGTATTTGCTGTAGTCACGAGTCTCTCGCTGGCCTGAGTTACCATTCTTTTCATACCACTCCTTGATTTTGCTTTCCAGCTCATAGTTTGATTCTTCCAGAAGCCGAACTTTGTCCAAGTAGGAGGCCAGGCGGTCATTCAGATTCTGCATGGTTACTTTTTCATTTCCAGAGAGAAGGCCACCATCTCCGCCAAATCCACCACCATAACCTCCTCCAAAGCTACCTCCACCAAAGCCACTTCCAAAGCTGCCGCCTCCAAAGCTGCCTCCACCAAAGCTGCCTCCTCCATAGCCCCCGCCACAGCTGCCGCTTCCATAGCCTCCACCAAAGCCACCTCCACTAAAACCTCCTCCTACTCCTCCATAGCTACTCGAGCCCACAAAGCACCCCCCACTAGAGCTCCCACGGCTAAAAGAGCCACCACTGAACCCCCCTGAGCTAAATCCTCCACAAACGGAGCCTTTGCTGCCTGAAATTCTGTGGCATGATCCTCCTACTCCTCCTCCTCCGCTGCGGGAGGAAGAGTATTGCTTGGTTGAGCTGTATCGAATAGACATGGTGAAGCTATTTAGCCCAGGGAGTGTTGCTACCAAGGACAGTGACAACCTTTATATACATTGCCAACTGTGTCAAGAGGGTGTTTCCCATGTGTGTTAGGGTTTGCTTACTTGGATGGTTTTCTTTTTGCCAACTTAGCATCTTTGGCTTATGGTTGCATAAATTATCTTCAGTTATAACCAATCCCAGTGTGTACAGTTTTGAATTTGCCCAAAGAACAAACAGAAGTTTTGCTATGTTGAAATTGAAAATGGGTGGAGTTCAAATGAGCATGTTTTAGTATGCTTTTCACCTTTTGAAGAACATTAAGCAACTGTTAAAATTAATTTTTCTCAGCAGTAATTCAGATTGCACAGAATGTTTGCAGAGTTTTGGGGAAAAAAGTTTTAGCTACAAATTTATAGTTAAGATATTTCAACTTCATGTTTTAAACAGTTTTAATTAATTGAAATAGCAAATAACATAAATTCTGTCAGAATCATACTGTATTAAGGATCTTGCAGAAAACTGTAGGCAACCAAAAAGAAGATAAAATACATATGCTAAAAACTTAGTGTTCAAAAGTTGCCACATATAAAAAGTTAAAGTCACAGAAGCACAACTTAGGACATTGTGTGTGTATGTGTGTGTGTATAAGGAATCTTTAATTTATCTGAAGAATGAAAATATATTGATATTTTGCCTAGAAAAATGAAAGTGAGTAATGATCAAGGAATCTTCTAATTTAATGTTGGCATTATTTTTAACATCAAAGAGTCTGAAATCATAAAGTTATCCTGGATTATTTTCACTTTTAAACTCATTGTAGATAAGTTTTATGTGAAGACCATATGCAGAATTTGTTAGTACAAAGTCTGAAGAACTAACCTCCAGAACTTTACACTCAGTTTTTATTGACTAAAAGGGAAGAATTTGGGTATGTTATGATTGTGAGTAAAATTTTGCTTGCAAGAACATAAATCCATATTAAAGAATGATACTTGCTCCAAAAATTATAAACTAGAATGTGCACATACGTTCCCAAGCTAGGTTGTGTTTTTTGGGGGGAGAACCACCCAAAAACCCAAACCCCACGTCTTCTTAGATATACTGTGCATAGAATTTGGTATAACAGTTTGCATGGTGAATATTTAATTGGGGCTTTAATATATGGTATAAAATTATTTTATATCTACTCATAGGTGATGACATTGCTGTTCAAAAAATATATATTTGTGTATGTTCACACATGTTTTACAATTATGTAGTGCTGTTTGTGATGTGATTTAAAAATATCTGGAACAAACTGCTGAGATTATAGTTATTATCTCTAATTTATAGAAGAGGAAGTCAAAGATGAGAAAAATTATCATTTTTCCTAAAGATATGTAATAGATTGTTGAACTGTAATTAGAAGCTCAGTCTTTTAACTCTTGTTTTTTTCCTGCTATACTGGTGTGGTGCTGTGGTGGATTTGATCTGATAGAACTGAATGTTCTAATTCAGGAGTCCTCAAACTTTTTAAACAGGGGGACAGTTCACTGTCCCTCATACTGTTAGAGGGCCAGACTATAGTTTTAAAAAAAAACTAGGAACAAATTCCTATGCACACTGCACATATCTTATTTTGAAGTAAAAATAACAAAACAGGAACAAATTGTCCTCGGCGGGCCGCATGTGGCCTGTGAGCCATAGTTTGAGGACCCCTGTATCTAATTCTTTACATAAACTTCTCTAAATGGGAAAAGAAAAATAAAACAAAAGGAACTTAGAAGCATAAAAATATTGAAAGAGTAGGGATTTGGCATACACTCTTCCATTAGTAATAGCATTTTCAAATTAAATTTATAGCTGCATATTCCAGTTTATGAAAACCACAAAAAATAGTTTCTGCAGGGAAAGGGAATGTGGTTGGGAGCATTCTTCAAATGTTGATTGTTGGAGTGGAGGTTACTACCCAACAAATTGCAGCTCTTCCAACTTGTTAGCACATGTAAGTAGGGCAGTAGTTAAAAGAAAAAAAGAAACTCAACTATGGGAATTGATTCTTGATGAAGATAACACACAGTAAAGGAAGGCTATGATAAATCAGGTTAGAAAAAAAAGATTCCAGTAACTTCAGGGAGGATGTTGCAGCCTTGATGTTAACTAATGAAAGCTATTCGGAAATAAAAAGTTTAATTAAAGAGAGATTTTGATTGATTTTACTCATGATTATCATAAGTTTTGGATCTTTATCTTACTAGTTTTGCTTTAGTGTTAGTTTTTAAGTTTTTCCCCCAGTGGAAATTATAAAAATCTCAATCTAGTTGTAGTTAGTTAACAAGTGGTATAAAAGGAGCTCTGTTACAATTATAGTAAGCCAAAGAATATGTGAAAGGAAATATAAACATAAAACATAAAAATACATAGGAATAAATATAGGTATGGAAGGCCTTCTAATACTGTAACATTTATATTAAGCTACTTTGTATGTTATTACCAAAGATTGCTTATAAACTTATATACTCAAGAAATTGATTTGTCTTTATTTGCACTGTCATTTGTTGAAATCAGCCTTTGGCATGAGTGAAATTACAGAGGTGCCATGTAATAATTCTACAGCTAAATTAGATGAAAATTTATGATTTCAGTCTTGGCACCATTTACACTTGACTGCTATAATCCACTGTAATGTAATTTTATTGTTCTCTATTTTTATTGTGTCTCCATGTAAAGCAATTGGTAGGTGTTTAAAACAGAAAGGTGAAAGAGACTCAGCTCTTGTCCTTAAGGATACTACCAGTCATTAAAATCTAATTGAGGAGACATGACATATACTGTCAAGTGCTATGTAAATGGTAAATGATGGCAGGGGTTATGGGTGTGGGGAGAAGGAGTTAACATTTCCTGAACACCTATTAGGTTAAGTATGAAATGTCCGATTCCCTTAAGTACTAAGTTTGACAGTTGATATCTCTGACATTTCACTTTGACACTTCTTGTTCTATGTTTATTGTGAAGGCACAGCCTCAGTCTTTCAAATGCATGGTTTGGCTTGTGATTATCTTTCAAAAAAGTTTTAGAACAATTTTTGTGAGACTATGGATAAGTCAAAAACTCATGTTATTTTCGAATGAGTTCTGTCATGGAACAAATGCAGCATAGACAACTTGAAATATCAAAGAAGATTTGGGAAGTATGTGGCTGATGAACGCACAGTATGTTGATGGTTTGAGAAGTTCTGTTCTGGTGATTTTATTTATTGAAAATGAGCCAATGGGTGACCTGAGACCAGGGTGGATGATGATGAACTGGAAGCTACAGTGGAAGCAAATCCATTTCAACCCATGTGTGAATTAGCAGCAAGGTTTGACATTACTATTCCAGCAATATTGGATCTTTTGAAATAAATCGGCAAGGTGAAGAAGCTGGATAGTTCAGTGCTGCATGAATTAAACGAGTGTCAGAAGAGACATCGTCTGGAAGCTTGCCTTTCTTTGCTGTCACGACATAAAGGCGAACTATTTCTATCTGTAATGAAAAGTGGATTCTTTTTGACAATCCCAAGCATTTGGCACAATGATTGGATTAAAGATGAAGTGCTGAAACACAGCCCCAAACCAAATATTCATCAAAAAAAGCTAATGGTGTCTGTTTGATGGTCTAGCACTGGTATTATCCACTACATCTTCATGAAACCTGGTCAATTGATTACAGCAGATGCCTGCTGCAACTAATTGGATGAAATGGTGAGGATGCTTGGATTAAGTAGCCAAGATTGGTCAACAGAGACAGGCCAATCCTCTTGCAAGACAATGCTCAACATGTCACACAAACAATGCTGCTCAAAACTGGTTTTGGAAACTCTCTGCCATCCACTATATTCACCAGACCTTGCACCAAACTGACTACCACTTCTTCCAGGCTTTAGACCACTTCTTGCAAGGCAAAATATTCAATTCTCAACAAGCTGTGGAAAACATCTTTTGTGATTTCATGATTTCATTGCCACTCACTTCTCTCCAGGCTTCTTTGCTGCTGGCATAAATAAGCTACTGTTAAGATAGCAAAACTGTGTTGATAGTTTAGGCACATGCTTTGATTAATTGTACTGCTTCTTGTTTGAGATATAATAAACTACACTTTTGGTTTGAAATTGGACATTTCATATTTAATAACCTATAATACTGTGTTTTAGATGGTTTACTTTCCTTTAATCCTCTCCAAATCCTCTAAGAGAAGTATTATTACCTCATTTTAGATGAAAAAACTAATCCTTAGAAAGTTTTAGGTGTTTGCCCAGAGTAGTGCAGCTAGTTTGTGCTAGAGCCTGTTTTAAAAAATTACTTATTAATTTGTTTATTTTTGGCAATGTCCCTGCTTTGGTGTAGAGCCTGGTTTTGAGTCAGGCGATATAGGTACAGAGATGATAATTTTCTTGACACCAACTGGTGTTTTAAGACTAATGAGCAAGGGGTCATGTTGGAATGGGCCACCTGGTAAAGTTTCTTAGTGAAGGTGGAATTTAAGCTGAGTCTTCTGAAATATTGGTAGAATTTCTCCATGTGTGTAACAGCAGAGAAAAGACTGCTCTGGGAAGTGGGGACTGTGAAAATGCCAAGCAGGTGGAGACACTGTTGGTGGAGATCATCCATGTATATTAGTTTATTCATTCCTCCATGTAATTCCTCATGTAAGCATGTCTTCAGCAGTTAGTCAAAGGACTGCAGTTAAGGAGGGAGGTCAGAACCAGCAGACTTTGGAATAGTTGGGATCTTTAAGGGAAGGAATCTAGGGAGAAATGAGCAGAAGGTGTAATTCTGAACTTTTGGGGACAGTCATGTTAGGGGCTAGGAAGAAGAAGTGTAGCTGGAGAATAATACTAAGGACACCCAGGACCCAGGAGAGGGGGAAAGAGGATCACTGGAGCCAAGGGAAGAGAGAACCCAGGTGGGGTGGTCACTAGGGAGGTTCAGGAAAAAGCAGTTGGGAACAACTGGCCTCCTTCCAGAGGGCAGGTTTAATTGACTAGTAGCGGGCCAATTAATGATGTGTACCCAAATTGTAATTGATGACTTTGCTTATGGTATTTTATTATCAGGTAGTCCAGTTTATCAGTTTCTTCTTTCATTGCTTCTGGATTTGAGTCATGGTCAGGATGGGTATAGGTGCTATTCTCATGGGGCCCTAGAAACGTGAATTAAATTGCTGGGGCCCTAGAAGCATGTTGTTGATTCAGCTTTGTTATCAGCTTGACTTGTCTCACTGTTGGGGATTGCATCTTTTTTATTTTTGCCTTATTTTGCTTCAAGTAAAATCCTCTTTTTAAGTATCTAGTTGAAAATTCTATATGCAAGCGTTTTCTCTGAGTAGTTGCAGTATAACAAATAATTTAAGTAGTTGTAGAAGGACACATCTGATAATGCAAGTTATATCTCAAGATGGCAAAGTTGATGAGATAAATGTTTAGAATTTTCTATTGTTCATCACAAAGTTTGAGAGTGAGGCATTTTCTTTTTGAATGTTCTGTGGCTTTGTGTGAACTGCTTAATAAATATGCCTTTGTGATTACTGCCCACAGAGTCAAAGCAAAGTGGAAAGTTGTACAATTGTTTGATGGATTTGGTACCCTCTTCTTGGATGGAGAGTAATTAGGACAACTAAGATATTGATAATGTTCATGTCCTTTCATTGGCATGCATTTAAAATTCAGGAATCTCAAATCTGCAGGCACTCCTATATCACATCAGTTTTCTGAAGCTTCTGGGACTGTGTTGTGATGAAAGCCACAAAAATATGGAAACTGACTAGAGGCTTTTGAGGGTCGTGAAGGAGAATGATGAAGTGGGAGGCCTCTGGGGTCAGAATGCTGGAGTTACAGTCCAGGTTCCACCACTTATGAACTGTGTGGCTCTATCTCAGTTCCTTCCTCTCTGAAGTAGGGATAATTATTTTTGCTTACTCTGTAGAGTTGTAATGGCAGTCAGATGAGTTAATAAATATAAAACATTTAGAGTGATGTCTGGCAGACATAGAATAAGTGCTTCATGAATACTTTTTGTTGTTACTGTTACTGCGATCTCTGTGTCTCAGAGCCCAGTCTCTCCAATCCACCGCAGGCTTGCAAAATAGGAATGAAGGAAATGATAGAGTTAGAAATTGGAAAATGGTTAGTGAGAAGGAGATGGTGGCTGGGGAGGAGAGAAGGGCTGGGGAAAGTTGTTCAGTCTGATAATTGATAAATCACATGGTCTGTTTTTCTATGTGTGATACTTGCTTTCATTAACTTTCATTAAACTTCATTTTTTTCTTTATCTCCTACATCCACCAGGGTACTAATTTTGTCACCTTTTCTTTGTCCTAGCTGATGTAT